AAGTCATCACATATTCCAAGGCAGAAATGTCTCCTCTGGATGACCATTTGGCTAAGAGGACTTATACAACTTCAGTAAGCGCTAGGTCAACTACTAGCTCAGACAAAAGAACTGTACGCTCAACTTTGATATCTAAATCTGCAGAGGTGTTATCCCACATGCCCACTCCTCCTCGTCTGAACAGCAGCAAGCAACACTTAAATGAAACCAAAGGCTACAGTGGTAGGAATTATACTTCAGACAACGAGGTACCTGCTTGGGATGCTGCAGCTCTGGGTGTCTGGTTGATTCCAGTTGTTCTTTGCTCTTCTCTCATCTTCCTTTGCTGTTGTACTGTTGCTCTTGCAGCAGGGCGTTGCAGAAATAGGAAAGGTCAGTACAATCCCATAAGGAGAGGAAGAGCAATGTCTAGACGAGTCATAAAATACACTAGTGTCAAAGGTAGTTTGTAAAATGCAGCCACCATTTTTGTTTTGAAACAAATAGCCTTTAAAAAAAATGAATAGCGTGTGTTGGCCTAATTCTTTTCAGAATCATTTAGTTGTATTTTCATTCTCACCAGATGAAACACAATTTCTTTTTTGGGTAAGAAGTATATACTCTGCACTTTCAAAGCTGCTTGAGCATATTTTGGTTTATAATCTGACCCAGGCTAATACCTGACACAAACTATACACTTTTCCTAACTTAAGACAGCAGATTCACTACAGTTTTACATATCCTCTCCCTCAACTTTGACCAAACTTAGAAAATTAAGTAAAAATGCAATCAGTAAAACAGACTTAAGTTTTAACAATCATAAAATCATTTAATTCTAATAATCTTTAATTACCTAAGATCTAGTTGTTCCTATAAAAACTATGTATTCATTTTCTCCCGTTATATTCTAGATTGTTTTTCACTATTTGTCACTTATACTGGAACAAAACGATTTCACCAGGACTATTTACTTCTTCAAAGAAAAACACCTATAAAAAAACTAGTCCCTGAAACTACCGAATTCCATTAACTCATACCAAAACATCTGATTATTCAATTATTTATGCTTTACTTTAACCCCAATCTTCTGATAACCATCATTTCAATGTTTTTCAAGTCCTCCTAGAAGTACCTTTAGACTTTTCCTGTTTTTTAAGCTTACTTGCTGTGCAGTACATTGCAGATTCACTCTACTATTGGTTAATGCAGGCACAAATACAGCTAAGAATTTTTCATGCATTACAGTCAATTTGTGTTGCCCTCACTGACTTACTTTTTTGTGCCTAATCACATTTACCATTTACAACATTTGCTTTTTTTTTTTAATAAGGACATTCAATGTACATTGCACATAAATATACAAAAGGTTTTAAAAGGTCTAGAAGTTATCATTATAATTAAAAATAAATACATATTTTTTAAAAAAAAGATAAAAACACATTTGTTTCTTTATCCTTTATACATGCTTCATAAAAGTGCCCCTTCTGAATATAAATCAACTTATTAGATCATTAAGGTAGGAAGGCATTTCCTCAGCTTACCTTGCTCAGGAAGTTTGCTTAGCATAGCAAACATTTTCAACAGTAACTGGGATTGCTCTTCCTCTTTTAAATTTGTTGATGTCTCAGAGTTTCTCACTTTCTTCACTTGCTGTAAAAAGGTTCCTATTTCCCAGATGAGTTGAAATGTTATAAAAGGAAACAAACCAAAATAAAAACGATTGCCATATGTCTATATAGAAAGTTATTTCAAAACTAGTACAACAAAGTTTAATGACTATAGTAATGAGGGTAGAAAGCCACATGACTACCTAGTTACAGTTGAGTGGGTTGGTTTCAAAGGAAAAGGCCTAAAATTATATTTTAGTGCACACTGATTAGCACTGTAGTTTAAGAAACTGAAGATTAAAAAAAAAAAACACCTCGTTTATTTCTTGATTAATCTTGTATGTTAATTTCTATGTAATAGGAGAGAGACTGACAGCCAGAACACCTTAAAGGACTGTTTGTTTTGTTTTGCATAATCTGATAAAATACAAAAGCATTTTTTTTTTCAATTTTATCTAGAAAAAGTAAAATTAGATACCATTTGTTTTTAAGGGGAGTTCTGTGGTTATCTTATACAGGCTCTGGAGATATACCTACTGCAAGATTTACTTCAACTTTGAGTAAACTGACTTTTACCTTCAAATTACACTTTTCTGATTCATCATGTGCCTGAATCTAGCACATAGTTAAGCTATCACTAAAGGTATTTGTAATGAAACATTCAAATAAGAATGGTAAGACCTCAAGAACTCTTCAGGAGAAGCTTCAGAGGAAGCTGACATTCTTTTCTAGGTTTTAACACCAAAAAGAAAGAAACTAGGAGAAGAACCAAGATACTCTATAATGTATCAAAGAACAAATGTGGTGGTATTGTTAATGAAGTATGTATTTCTCACATGTTCATCATCCTAAGTAATTTTAATGACACTGACCTTGCAATGTAAAAATTTCAGGTTTGATTCATTTCATTAAGAAAACAAAGGCACATGCATGTCAGGGGAGGAACTCAGTTCCTCAGCCTGTTGATTACTGGGATGTGTGTTATTTTTCACCACAACTTACACTGGAAATGGTGATGTGCACCAAGACTACCAGTATGATCTTTTTTTTAGACTAGAAGCTGCAGACCATGTGCTTCAGGATTCTCTTAGCTCTAACAGCCACGTTCTGCTCAAGTAAATTTCTGAAGGAAAAGTTCATGGCTCAGTGAAGCACCTTTGTGTTAAAGAAACAAGCAAGCATAACCGATTAATATTTACAGAGCCTTAATGAGAAGATGAAAAGTTCTCTAAATTTGTATTTTGATTTCTACCACATTTATCATTCAGGTATACATCGTGGCAATTTGAACAAATACATTAAATAAACTGATGAACCACATGCTCCAAATCTCATTTCACTTAGTACTAATGAAAAGCACAGTTTACCATAGGATTCTCCCACACCTCACCCAGCACTGTCAAACCAGCTTGCACTGAAAATGCTTTAAAAATAGGTTTCTCCTCATTTTTGAAGTCATGTAACCAAGGAAAAAATTTTAAAAACCAACTTGCATCTAAGATTGCATCTAAGATGTACAGATACATCAAGGGCAGAGTTACATCTAGTTACCTTTCTGCTTGTCTATTCACTACCAGATGAATTAATATGCAATATAAGACATTAATAAGTATTCTTTTATAGGAAACTTTTTTGTTTAAAAAGGTCAAAAAAATTACAACAGTGAAGTGTATGTTTGCTGCCAAAGGATGACTCAGTAATAAACACACTTCAAAGAACATTATGTTTATATAGGATTACGAGATAAAGTGTCTAAACCTAAACTTGAAAAAAAAATATATAAGTAAGTGAACTAGATCTGCACTGTGCAATGCCTTTCTTCAGGCTAAATGGAGCTATTAAAATTCTGCTTGTGTTCACACTAGAGGTTCAATAGTTCCCAGCCAAAGAGAAGCCATTACTTCAGAGACTAGGACATTTCAAACTGCCCAAACTTTATTTCCAAGACCTTGCAGCACTGAATTCCAGATATAATTTGTCCTGAAAAATCAGTGAACATGCTAAAATTATTGTTATTCTAAAAAAATGACATGAAATTATGTAGTAGAGTTCACATGCAAGCAGCTTAGTCCAATTGAAATAATTACGTTGTTTACCTAAAAATTCCTCCACAACTTCAGTGGAATCAAGTGTTTTACTTTTCTTAGTTTAGAGTCTTGCTAAGTATAGTAGTTATAATAATTCGTTTGCTAAGAATATTAGTTATCTTCAATTAAAGAGGGATATACGATTTGTTTTGTTTCATACTTTTTATTTGAATGCCAATTTTTTTCCCTTTTCCAGGTTTCAAAGAAAGCATACACCTCTTTCCATCTGCTCCACGTAATAAATAAGATCTGCAGAACTGTTTGCATTGTAATACAGTGTCCTTTATTCATTAATTTATCATACTGAGAATAATGTATTTTGGATGTAACACAGTATTTAATCATACATGGAAGACAGAAGACTCTGAAATCCATACCACACGTTTAAAATACATTGCTTACATGGGCCAGACAATTGCATGTCTGACACAACATAGTTCTTGCGATATCAATAAGGGTTACATTCAAGACAGGAAATACCAGAAGTAAATGTGAACATGAAACATCCCCTCTCCTTTTTTTTTCTTTCTTTTTTTTTTTTTTTTTAAAATGTGCAATTAAGATATTACTGTTCTCAGATAAATAGGCAGGAAAAAAGTTATATAAAGCACAGTAGGAGCAGGACCACTTACTACAGACTAGGAAAATAACATGAAAGTGAGTACATAAATATAAGGTATGAGAGAATGGGTAGAAGGATGTTTTGTTCAGATAGAACACACCTTTTTAGGCTACTATCCCTTTATCCCTTAGCTCTGTTTGTAGCAATGCTATGCACAAAAACATGGCAAAAGTGTCAACTCCAGTCAGGAGTATAAGTTACTTCTCTGAAGACCATAAGATCATCTGTGGAAGTCACAGACTTTTCATGCATAGCCAGTCATGTTCAGATCTTAGCACTTCATGAAATTCCAAGTAGTTCTAACATCTATCCTCCTGGCTAAATTATAATCATATCTCTGTATAGACCTTTTTGTCTAATCTAAACAACAGATAATGCTTAGTGTTCTAAAACCCCCTTTTAAAGGGCAAAAGTATGCTAGAATGTAGACAAACAACCTCAAGAGACTATTTAGCAACACTGTTTTACTTCACAACTCTTAACACACTGTTTACTAAAGACATCTTATGTCAGTGATTAGTTTCTAGATGCAAAAAAAATAGCCAGAAAACTGACAAAGCAAGTTCTAGTTTGACCAAGCACTAGATCTCAGTCTTTCTCTGGAATGTTTATATGAGAGATAAAAGAAAGGTTAGTCTCCTCAACAGCACCAGTAAAACTATGCATCACAACTCTTCCAGATGGCCAAGAGCTTAATTTGTGTGATTTTTTTTTCCATTGGAGACAGCTTATGTTTTCCTTGCCATAAGGAACTTACTTCTCCAGCTTGTGGGGGCAAGTGTTTGGATGTGAAATGAGACATCTGCTACTTGGAGGTTAGAACAGTGACCGCAAAGAAGCAAATATAGTAGCTCTCCGGCTCAAATTTCAATCTATGATGGACAGGGTTGCCTGAGGTCAGAGCTGTCATGAACTAACGCCATGTTCCTCTTGGCCAGTAAACACCAGTAAAATAATTGCCTATGGAGAGAGCCAATGCATCTAGACACTGTGTGTGGTTTTCCGTTTCTCATTGCTTCCCAATTTATGTTCTGGGGGGCCTAACTTGCTTCCTGATTTACATGTTAGCTATTGACATTTCTACCTAAAAGTAATGAACCCCCAAGCACTACCTTGCAACAGAAGAATGCACACATACACATACGTGTATAGAGTGTATATACGTATATACATGATACATACAAATGTATATAATGATACACACCTCAGGGTGATGCATTTACATTATAACATAAAATACATTAATAAAAAGACCACTGATAATGATGTATTTACTACCGTACTCTATTACTCTTAACTCTTCACAGCATTTACACTACAATGGAAGTTTCCAGTGAGGTAGTCTGCAAGTGTTATACAGGAAAATTAAAGATGTGTAATTTATCTCATAAAAACATGCACTGTATCATCATCATTAAGGTTGGGAGGACTTGCACTGGGATTTAAGATTCCAGTGCTCTAGGTGTTCTACAAAAATCACAGCAGATTACTGACACTCTTAAACACCTAAACAATTTTGAGGGAGAAACAGAAAATCAGAAACATGTAAGATGACAGCTCAAAATATCATCCAGCCTACCTGTGATTCAGTCCACTGCACTACAAATCCTGCACTGTAACATAAACCATTAGTTAACACCACAAATTTGCTAACACCACAGATTTAACTTAATTTGATACTTCCTTTGATTTTAGCAGCTTGATTGGGCACTTACAGGGTTATAAAGGTTTTAGTCTTGCTTGTATGTTTCTTAGCAAGAAGAGGAAGCGATAAAGACATTGAAAATTAAGTTTGGAGGTCAGCCTCATAGATTTTTGAGGCCAGCTGGCCAAGCATTCTATAGCCATAGTCATTAAGCCAGGTATGACTGGAAAACCAGCATCTATGACTGATTTAATGGCAAGTGTTGGATAGGGTTATGGAACACAGTGAATTAGTCTCAATAATGTTCTTACTTAGTAAATACTCAGAATGAGGAAAAAAAACAAAACTATTGCTGGTAGACACTTCAGTGTCCTGGCACTTTGGAGACAGACACCTTCTATCCTGTCTGTATTTCATGGAACACGTAGAACATAAATTCTGCTTGAACACTTTAGAGGGAACTTTCTAGAGTTCCTGGTTATTTTAGATTTTTCATTAATTAGCTGCCACATTAATAAAATACTAATGCAATCAACTGAAAAATCAACTTGCCTTGCTGTTCTGTTTTCTACCATTAAGTCAAACTTATTTTAACTACAACTTTCACAGGCATCTTCCTAAGTCAATTTAAAGCCTATGAAGAACACAGAAAAAAATGAATTGCCCTCTAAAGCAAGAAAGACTATCAGGTGCCCGTATGTTCTGAGTACATAAGGACAGTTTTTATGGAGAAAAGCAAGCTTGTGGGTAATGGATTTCTTACAATCTCTAAGGGGAACTCACAAGCATCTGGTACAAAACATGTCACTGCAAACAGAAGTTCATTACATATGCTTGCTAGTACACCGTCTTTATGCAAGCACCGACAAAACTAATCAAGGAAACTATTTTCTCTTGTGTATATACTAGAACCAAATCTCCTCTGGACTAAAGCCAGGTACTTCTCCACCATCCATACCATTCTCTGAGTCAAACTGCAGTTACTTCCTCAATGATTTTGGTTACATGGCTGTTCAAAGAAAGATTAGAAATTACACAGATGTACTATTTCAAATGAGAATTTTAAACACCTTCCCCATTGTTCTTGAATTAAGGAACAACTTGATAGAAGTAGGAACTTTTCCCAGCTTCTGATAAAAATGCACATTAGTAAGAATTTAAATGAAAGGACCACTAAATAATCAAGTTGGTGAATGCAGAATTATGAATGCATCACAAGACACAACTTTTTCAAATGCATCTCCAGGTCAGGCACAATTTTCATAGGAAGGAAAAAAATGCATTAAACTCAGTCTCCTTCCAAAAGAATGCTTACCAAACTTTCATTATTTTAGAAATGGGAATAAATACACTCTTTGGCTATATGTAAGCAAAAAACAATGAGAAGCCTTAGCAGCAAATAAGTTAAGACACACCAAACACTGCAAAAATCAGTTCACTTCTTCCATCTTTAATGTTCTTATTCTAAGGCTGTTTCCTCTCAACCAGCTGCTGGCAATGCCACATGCTAGGGTCTTTTAAAGGCATGCAGAATCCGTTGGTCTGATGAAAACTCCTTCCACCCCTTCCAGAAAATGAAGGCTTTCTCTCTAAGCTGAAATCTTAGCAAGCTGAGGAGATACAATAAAAGCAGCAACAGAGTTATGTACTTTCACACTGGTACTTTTAAGGATTTTTTATTTATTTGTGAGAAGGCAATAGAAGTTTCTTATGATTCTAATCTTTCAAACCAATTCCTTTCAAATATAAATTACCAAATATAAGCATCCATTTTATTTCCTCGTCTGTGCTTCACAGCAGAGTGGGAAGCTACTTTTTTTCCTTGCCAAACCTGGGTACGCTCAAGAAAATACTCAGCACACCTCAATGTACAAAGACTCAGTCCATTCCTATTTAGGCAATGTACTCACCTCAGTACTCACCACCTCAGCATAGTACTCACCATTCAGCATACTTCGACACCTCTCCATGGAACACTACCTTTACTTAACTGATGGGGCGCAGAGGTAGAAAAAATACTGAGTGACATTTGGAAAACATTTAGAAACTTTAGATCTCTTAACTAAGAGCCTCGAGGTTAATGGAACTTGGAGCCTAAGTCATTTTATTGTTTTTGAAAACTGTTTAACTATATGCCAAGAAGTTGTGTGAGAAGTCAGAATGTGATTAAATACAGAACTGTGCCTGGATCTCCCATGCTAAGAAAGCACAGAATAGAATGTTCAAGTTCCCAATATGACTCAAAATATAGTTTATTCAAAGAACAAGATTCATGAACAGAAAAATTATGTTTACAAGAAAATCCAACAATAAAGAAATATCTGACTACTTTTAAAATGAATTTATCATCAAGTTTCATAGCTCTGGTTAAGGTTCCAAATAATTACATATCCATATCATACAGAGCTATTAACTATAGTTTAAGATGTCTATAAATAATCAGATGTACCTGCAGAATCTTTCATGGTAATGCTTATATATTTAATAATTTCTTCACAGATTCCTTATACTGAGACATGTTACTTTCTGTTTCACCTTCATTTTTAAGAGCAGTTACAGAGTTTCTGTAATTCTTAACTACTTCAGATGCAAGCAGCTCCTCCTTAGCTACATTACTAACATTCTCTGTGGCTTTTATTCGAAGTAGTGTATCCAGGGCATTTTTCTGAGAGCAGCTATTTTCCCAGATATACTCCTCCATGTCTTCTTCAGTCTTCTCACTCTCCCACATCTCTGTTTTCTGAAAGAAAATACACCTTATTTTAAAGACTACTGAAAACTGAAACAAAGCTATAGTAATTTGTAGAAACATTTCCCTCTCATTCCAATTCACTTATAAAAAACACACAACCTTCTATTCTGGAAGACATTTGTCCTCTGAAGTACAAGTCTTGTAACTCAAGCCTCAAACAGAGTTCAAAGAGATGCCCATATACCATACGTTTTCTGTGCACAGTGAGTTTCTTCCCTCCCACTTACCAAGTTATTTACATATCTGACAGATATAACAAGACCAGTCCAAATGAGAAGAAAAGCTTATGGATTATATATACATAATGAATAATAAAAAAGGTTCTAGAAGTAGTAAATTTAAGTCAATCTAAATTTTCAAGCTTTTGAAAAGTCACCTAGCTATTATTGTCCCTAGCATATGATTTTGGTATGTTTACATTGGCTATAATATGCCAACTGAAACAGTTCATACCAAGTAACCTATGATGAGAGAGAGCAATCCTTCAGCATTTGGGAAATGTTTAAATTGTTACTCATAAGGAAAAACACCAGCAATTAATCCATTTCCTCTTCCTGCAAAACACTGCTCCTCCAAAGAATCTCTATCCACAAGATGCTTTTTTTTTTTTTTAACCTAATTGGCATTGCAGGATCCATTACAGGATCAGAAGTTAAGTACACAAGATATCATCCTAGTGCCTGTAAATACGTGGGTTAGGAAGTTGATACTTAGACTAAATTTTGTATCTAAACATTTTCCTAATTCAGTGGGACATCCTGCTATTTAAGGGATATTTCAATGTCATAAAAATGAAATTAAAACAGAACGTTATTGCACATTTGCAAATATGTGTATGTAGATAATTGGTATACTTACATATTTTAAAAATATACAAATAAGTATTGTGTATTATTAACGTAAACAATGCTGACATTATCCTTTTTTCCAACTATGTAAGAATCACAAATTGATGTACTTTTTTTTTGGTGGTCATGTTTTTCCTTACGTAGTTGTTGTATAAAACAAAAGCTTATCTCTCTAGAAGTAAGCTTAAAGAACTACTCTACTAAAGCCTTCATAGCATTTTGTGTTTGGTCTGCTCTTTTGTTTTTGTTTTTTTTTTTAATCCCTTGCCATAAAGGGTTTGTCAGTAAATTTTTAGCTCTGCTATGCTAGTAACAACTAACTCCCATTACTGACACATGACTGCAGAATTCAAATAAACTTGACAATCACAGGAGATTTTCTTTATTTAATGAACTATCCTGTCCATTAGTCAACAAGGCTTTTGCAGTTGAATCGTAATATTTAACAAAGTTTAATTAATGCCTGAGAATTGTTTTCTACCTATAACCCTGTGTGCTTGGGTCTGTCTATCTGAATTTAAAAATACTTTAATAAACGCTGCATCTGGTGAATGGAATCTCTTGTCTTTAAAACAGAGTCCAAATGTTTAGTCAGAAACAGTAATTAACATTACTAAAAGGCTCATATGACTGACATTAAAACCTGGACACAATACAACACAGAAGTAAAAGAACTTCATTTTCTAGAGGGAAATAAAGGACATACTCTAGTCTAGTCTACTGTTTATTGCTAAAACAGTAGTAGAGCAAGTTAGTAAGTTATTCCTTGTATGCTTGAAAAATAACAGGAATCAAAATGGAGACTGACACGTTCTTAAAGTTATATTTTACATATCCCTCATTTACCTGCACAATGGCATCCAAGACATTTTTTAAAGCAAAACTTCTCTCACAGGGATTGGGTTTCTCAAGAGTAAAGGAATATGGGTATCACCCCTGGCCAGTCTCTGGACCATTTGCCGGAGTCAAGTTTGAAGTTCAAACAAAAGATAACTGTGAGGCTTTTAAATGCCTTCGAGTTATATAGGAGACAACAAGTACTAACCACATTTATTACATTTATCTCTATTGCTGCACAAATTACTTCTGGGATTTCAAAGATGCATGCTGATAAACAGATTACCAGTTTCCCTGACTCTTTTGAGCTACAGGACACACAAAAAAAACACACACACACACACAAGGAAAAACAGACAACACTAAGTATTTCTTCCTTGGAATCTTTCCCAGCAGAATGGTGTATCAAAATGGATTTTAAAACAAAATCTGACTTCTGGGGGGATAAGGGAGCCAGGAAGTGATTTGATGGTGGGGGGAGATTTCAAAATCTGTTCCCCAGCCCTACTAGAAGCAGCTTGTATCCACTACTGCAATGTTGGTGGCCATGCCTCAAAATGAAAAGTTATCCTGCTGTACACAGGTCCAGACATACATCACAAACAGGAAACTGAACAGAATCCAGATTTTTGCAAGCTGACTGTATTGAGTGAAACTTAAATACCTTTTCAACCAGATTTACTGCGAGAGGAAAAAAAGTGAACTATATTTTCATTTGAAAAAGCACACAAGGTAGACAAGTACCCACGAACTCTGAATTGTGGAAATACTGCAAATGTTGTAGTCTCAGTCTAAGGTGTTATGAAGACAAATAAGACAAAGAAAGAACCTTTGAAAAGGAGGTCTCCACTCTGACTTTTATTAGTTAGGTATTTTTGTTCCTGGAAATTTAAAAATGTTAGTAAAGAATGTAGTAAACAAGAACAAAACAATGAAAACTGGAATAAAAGTGTGAAGGTGTGCAACATATTTTGAGAATCCACACTTTAGGAACTAGGTTAAAATTCATGAATACATATTTCTTTATTAAATCAACTAAAAGCAATTGCTTCATTCTATCACACAGAACACAGTATCTCAGTAAGTATTAACCAGCCTGGCTGATAATGCACTCAGCTGGTAACTTCAACTTTCTCTCATTATAACTTCCAATTAGAACTTGGTGGGGGAGGGAAGGTGACCACAACAAAACAAACACCTTTTCATCTGAAAATCAAAGGAGTTTAACCTACTGCTAAACAAGATATACTTCCTAATGCAAATACATAAATATCGATGTCATAAACAGAGTTAAGAATTTATTTCTATTTATATCTAAGCAAATCTGCTGTGCTACAGTTTAAGCACTGGAAAGGTTTGTAAACCTCCCAAAATGAGGGCTTAATCTGATGTGCTGACACAGCATATATACCTCAGATGTACTCCAGCCAATGAAACCGCTTTTTACATAAGAGTCATTACCTAAGAAGCATCAATACAAACTGAAACTTTAACTATAGAAAAATAGGAAATCATTTTTGATCACTTCAGTATGCTTTTCACTGTGTTGTGGTTTTTCTGCCAGCTTATCCTTCCTAAACTTTGTCACAGCCACATGGGGGTTTAGTATTGTTACTTCTCTGGTGTTTCTTTTGGGGAAGACATTTCAATTGAAACTGTATTTGGCACACATGTTAAAAAAAAATTAAAAAATAAAAACATGACGCATGCTAGTCAATTGACAGTTGACATTTTGGACAGTTTAAAAAATAATGCTGTTTAGCAAAGAACAAGTATTGCAGTGGGATTTTATTTGAAGGGAGGAGATTTCCTAAATTGAAAATGACATTTCAAATTCTATATAGGCTGGATTAAATATACTTCTTCCTTAGTACTGAATGGATATAAAAAAAAAAAACAAAACAAAAACCTCTGTGGTACAATAATCACAGATTTCAGATTTTCAGGTAAGAAATGCTAGGATGCTCCAAATTACTGGATACCTCTTAGCCAAAGAGGAGTTGCCAAAATAGATATGTATATTTTTAGAGATATTACAGCACTGAAGTGCAGTATTAAGTTGGCAATTTAAGAATTGTAAATTTGAAAATAGGGCAAGACATGTTTGTATGTGAAGAGATTGGACACAATTTTATTTATTTTTTATTTGCTTGGTGACACAGAATAGGTTAAAATACTTTGGTCAGAACTCACAAAAATATTATCTATGATGCAGCAATGGCACAAGGCAGGAAGGACCTCTAGAGCATCAAGGAAAATTTGGAGGAAGACTGTGAGTACTAAAGATTTCAGTAAGGGACAAGTGTAAAATAAAAAAAGGAGAATAAGCAGAGATGAAAGAGTAGAACAACAGAACTTTGCCTCAAAAAATAAAAGTGGATGTAAGAGAAAAGTTCCATACTTAATGAAATTCAGTAGACTTCATCTCTGATTCTGCCACTAACTTTGAGTCTCCAGTAGTCACCATAATCTAGACTACCTCTTAAAAAAACAGTAACAACTTTCCTGGGCTGAAAATAATGCAACAGACTTCTATAAAGTCAGAAATATTACGTAGACAATTTTTAATTCAACCACTGCAAGCTACAGCTTTGTTTCAACTTTGGCTTCGTGATAAATGTTTGCTTCAGTGTTCATCCCCTGTGGTTCCAAGCAAAGTAGTTTAACTTTTTTCACTGCAATGCATATTTCCTGATAGTATATTTCTTTCATTTGATTTTAAATATTTTAGTTCAGATATTCAAAGAGAGTTTATTAAATTGAAAATCTATTATGCCACCTAACTTTATCTTTTCTGACTGACAATAATGATAGACTCTTTGCAAGTTATTAGATTTTGATCATTGGTGAGTGCATAATAAAATATGATATACATTTGAAAACAAAGTAAGTGCCTTTATCTGTAAGTATCTTTTTAAGTATCACAACATTAGAGATCACCCTTACCTCAGCATCAGGTTGTGTTATTTGTACTATATATAAGGTATGGTACTGAAGAAACACTATTGTACGAAGGGTGTAATTATATCACACTTCGTTATTCTAAGATCTCAGAGACAGGAAATTTACACTAAGAAGTCTTCAGTGATATTAAACAATGTCCAGAGCTCAGTATCCTTCTCTCTCAGGTACATGTACAGGTACAATTGCTGGGTTACAGCCCTCCTTTTCTTGTCACACTACACATTTTACTTAAGAGGTACACTGGAGAATAGAAAATGAAATGGCAACTTTTTATTAATTATCTTACCAGGTATGTGTAATGCAGGATGATTTCCTCCATGCTGCATCAACTTGTATTTG